CTGCGTGCCGCTGCACTACTACTCTTTTAAGCATTATTTTTAAATTTTCATCACCCTACAAGTATATAATACCATGACAACATTTAGTACACTCACCTTTTTATGTGACTGTGTATGACTTTGCACATGGCAGCTGATTTGGGACACTGATGTCACAGAGAGAGAGAACCCTTTTAAAATGCCACTGGAGCTTGATAAAGCAATAGAATGAGAGAAGCCCTTTATTTTCTGTGCTATAGCAGTGCATCTCTTTCCTGCATGATCACAGTGCAGGAGATGGATTTTCTGAGAGCATTGTAAGGTTGACCTATTTGTGTGTGTGTGTGTGTGTGTGTGTGTGTGTGTGTGTGTGTGTGTGTGTGTGTGTGTGTGTGTGTGTGTGTGTGTGTGTGTGTGTGTGTGTGTGTGTGTGTGTGTGTGTGTGTGTGTGTGTGTGTGTGTGTGTGTGTGTGTGTGTGTGTGTGTGTGTGTGTGTGTGTGTGTGTGTGTGTGTGTGTGTGTGTGTGTGTGTGTGTGTGTGTGTGTGTCAGAAACCTTTTTCTAACTGCTTCTTGCTAATTGTTGCTGAGCTCAAGAGAGAGAATGTGTTCCTCTGTATGTGTGTGTTTGTGAATAATTCAGTGTGCCAGGGAGGTACAGCAATGCTGACTTATTCAGCCAGAAGATTGAAAGTAGGTTAGACCCACCAACAACTACAGCTCTCTCTATCTTTTCAGGTCTACCTCTCCTGCACTCTTTTAATTCTAGAGCGCTCTTTCTGATCTTTTTTCAGTGTCTCACTTTCTCTCTCTATCTCTCTCTTTCTCTCTCTGCCCAGTAACTGCCCTTGAAATCCTCGAGTAATTTCAGTCCAAGTCAACTCATTGTGAAGAAATGTGTCTGAGAGCACACATGAGTCGGTCGCACCCTGAAGGGGTCTGTGAAGGCGGCACTGAGCTTGGGGGGGCCAACGCCCTGTCTTTCAGTGTGTGTGTGTGCATGGGGCAGTGGAAGTTGAGCATTCACAGGAAACTGGACAGCTCAGTCATGCTATTTTACTCCCCTGGCAGATAGGAAGTTAGAAAATAGTAGAAATAAATGTAAGAAGTTCCATGAGCAAGGACACGGAGCAATGTGATAATTTTCTGTAATTTAACGACTTTTGCAGAATTTCATACATGAGAAACTTCAGGAAACATCAAAACTATGTTTAATCTAATGGTATTCAATACAAAACAACTAGTTCTGGTAGTGCAACTTTACCCAAACAGTAAAGCGATGACCAACTTCTAAGTCCATCAGCTGTTTCAATAACTTGCTTCAGACAAAGATTTCTAGATTAGACTTTTGTGTTTGTTGAAATAAGTAGGAAAGTTGATTAAAAAAAAAATGTAACATGCTTCCTTTTTCTCATATATTCTAACATGCTGCTCTCATGTGCCATATCTGATCAGAAATGAAATATTTTAAGAATTGATAGTGTTGTTGACCTGGCCAAACAAGGTATGAAGATGAAAACTTGGGCTGTGGTATAAAGTGATTAATATATTTAACTTAGAATATACTGCAGATTCATTGATTTTATTTTGTTCGTTGGATTGAAATTACAATTTAAATCCCAAGAATATCTGACGACACGTATAAAGTTCAGCCAGTTGGAACAGACTAAAATAAAGACTGAAGTGTGTAACCCAAGTGTTGAGCTCTCAGACTTTAAAAATCCATGATAGTTCAGTCTGTCATAAACACACAAGAGAGGAGAGATGTGTATGTGTTAGTGAAGAAGAGAGGGAGCACAAGCTGGCGTGATCAGGAGTGTTAACATTCAAAAACTTCAATGATGTTCCTATCATGAGAATATGTCCAGGTCAGTGTTCTGTTTATAAAATCATTGACTCATCATTTTATCTCTAATTCTTATTTCATTATCATTTCCACCCTTTAATATGTCCTTCTTATAATTTTCTGCCAATTCTTATGTTTTTTGCCTCCTTTAATTTGTTGACTTTGGAGAAATTGATGCACAATAAATGCTGTGCAACATTTTTAACAAGAATAAAATGAGAGTGCACTTGAGCAATGGTATAATCCAGGATATTTACTTTTATCCACCTCCTCCATTCAGAACAGAAGCTAGTGCGGAGTGACAGAGTGTGAACAGAGAGCGTGTGAATGAACAACAGAAACAAGGAAGAAAAGGGGCCATTAGCTCAGCTACCAAAAGCCTCTTGAAAGCCTCTCCTGCACTCCCGCTCTTCTCCTTGTTTGCCTTAGCTTTGCTTATTGTTACCTCCAACTTTCTCCCTGTTTATCTTAAACCCATGTCTTCTCTCCTCTACTGCTTCCCTCTCTTTTCATCTTTCCCTCCCCTCTCTCTTAGTTTGTCAAGGTATAGAGCAGCAGGGAAAGACTCCCCTCTACCCGTCATGAAGTTCTTTTGAATCCTCCAGACTAATATATAGTCTTTATTTTTGTTCATTATAACACTTCATATCGTTATCACAATATTGCACAATTTCATTGCACATCCCATTTTTTCAAATCGTGCAGGCTTAGTGAATATAATTACACATGAAACATGAAGTTGATAATTTCTACAGTTCCTGTTCTGGAGTTATCCTTTACATTTTTACATCTTAATTGAACAAGTTGTGCACTTGTTAAAACATTCAGTCTGGCCTAACCTTAAATCATTAAAAGGGGATTAGATTAGGTGCTTTTAAAATGTCTGAATGAATGTTTAAGCTTCAGTTGGACAATCTGCTCGAATACCTCTCCCCCGCGGTTTAAATGAATCAAAATTAGATAATATAAGAAAATACTGATCAACGTGTTTGAGGGCACAACTCGATCATGTTTGTCTCCACATAATGGGTTTGTGGGTTGATGGGTAAATCACAAACCATCTCAAATAACTACCACCTCCCTTCATTTCTCATTTTGTGTCTAAGTGTGTGTGTGTTTCTTCCCGGGCGATGGCCCAGGACAGGAGCAGACCTCTGCTGGAAATGTAATTCACATGAGGCCAGAAGAGCTGTAATGCTATTACACCACACACACACTCACACTCACACTCACACTCACTCACACACACAAGCACAAGCACAGCTGTGTTGCCACCCACAGATTGCGTGTGTACCTCTCAGACTCCTTGTTTCCTCTTTATATCAGATCATCTGTTGTTGTGGTTTACAGAGCTGAGTCTTGCAAAATGAAAAGTGAAGAAAAACTCATTATGTCTTCAGGGAGCTGCTGCCATGCTAGTATCCTGTAGGTGTGTGTGTGTTTGTGTGTCAATAGTGTATTCAGTAAGTTCTGTTTATGAGACCACTGATTCTTTAAAAACACAACTTTCAGAAAGAGAAAAACAGACAAAGCTGAAAGTTGTGTTTCTCAGATAGTCCTCTAATTTGGTTTTCGTCAGACATATTTTAAATGCTCTCTCTCTCTTGACAATTTAGGAGTGTTTATGATGATCTAGATGAACACAGTTAACAAAAGATGCTCAAAAAGCATCATCTTATATAACCACAGCAAGATCTGATGAATCTGTCTGTGCTGTTGTCTCTCTCTCTACGCTCTCTTTACGTTTCTGCATTAGCAAAGAAGTGATGTCATGATAGGACAGGGAGCATTCATTTAATTCATTTTCATTTATTTTTTATTTCGAACATGTTTTAAAAATAGAATAAAAATATACATTACAAACAAAGCAAACAGCATTCAAAGCATACTTTCTGTAATTGCTCGGTTATTTTTCCTTAACCAGTCCATGTTCGAAAAGGGTGTAGGATGAAGTTAAATAACTTATCCAGTCCTACCCCTTTTATCTTTTTAGCTTAATAAATTAATCCAAGACTAAGCTTTACAAAATAAAGTCGAATGATACAGATAACGAAGTAACAAAAGCAACAGATATAATGTATTACACACATTAATTGGTAGCAAATGCTTGACGTGTAAGATAAGATTCTCAGGATGTCAGCATTTGAAGCATCAGCGTCACAGTTACATGAGGAAAGCCTGCAGACAGAGCCAAGAGAGAAGAGGTGGCACTGATTTTTTTTCTGTTCACACAAGGCCCCAGTAGCCTGAACGCCCACGCTGACTTTCTCAGAGTCAGAGAGACGAGGAGGAGGAGCCGTGGAGTAATGCCTAATTTCCGCTGTCTCTGAAAGAAATGGAGAGAGAGGGAAGTGATTGAACCAACTGAAAGAAAGAGAAGCCCTTGATAGTGGTGTCATGTGAACGCTAACAGATTCAAACAGCAGGAGTGACAGAAGTCTGGCTGTTTTATTTCAGTTTTCAGCAGGGGAATGGGGAGGGAGCACGGTACAGGACAACTTTGCTTGTGCCCTAAGTGTCAGTGTTAAACTGAAGGAAACAGCAAACCGGTAACAAAAGAAGCTTGTTATTCAATTAAAGTAAGAGGAAGTTTGAAAAAAGTCCCCTGATTAGTGTTGCTCCTGCTCTCAGACTCTTGTCTAAATATCTCACCTCTTTATAGAAAATAAGAGGGCAGGAGGGGCATCCTGGGAAACATTCAGCACTATAGATTCTCATTTTCAGCTCTCCACTTTAAGTCTTTGTTCTCATGAAGGATGCTTTTGAAGATTGAGATTATATCTACTAATATTTCCAGAATAAGATGGAAAAAAAGAAAATACAAAAGAATTGTACAGAAGGTTTTTTGTAGGGTCATTATTTATCTCATCTATCCTGTGTATTTTGTATTACTTCTTTCTCTGTCTTTCTGCTGCAATGCCCGAATTTCCCCTCTGGGGATCATTAAAGTATTATCATATCCTATCCTATCATGCATACAGTACCTTTCATGAAATGCACCAAAACATTTTAACCTCAAGTTGAACCTGCAATGGTCTTACTGCGCACAATGTAGACTTTGCATCAGTCTTTTTTAGATAAATAAAACACACATCTCTGTTGGTTAGCAAGTAGGAAATGAACATGTCATATTTCTCCACACCAACTTTTTTCTCTTGTGCTGTTTTTCATTCCAGCGGTTACGGAGATTATCAACTAAATACCGGACGGAAAAGATCTACCCGACCAACGTAGGAGAGCGGGAGGAGAATGTGAAGAAGAACAGATACAAAGATATACTGCCATGTAAGTCTCACAGTGCACAGACTAAAGCCGTTTTCTACTACATGTCACATTCACAAAGTGATGGCAGAGGCTGCTAGAGTACTCATATCACACACTGGCCTTGCAGCAGGAATTTCTCTGGGCTTTTGTGTGCCCTTGAGCAAGGCACCGAAACCCCAACTGCTCTGGTGCGCTCTCTGCTTAGCAGCTTGTAGCAGCCCCACTCTGACATCTCTCCACAGGTCCTGTTTCTGCATGTGTGTGATTCAGGCCTATGTGTGTGAGAAGCATGTCCCTATAAATAACAGAGTGTAAACCTGAATTTCCCTCAGGGATTAATAAAAGATATCAAAATCAATTGATGCTTTCTTTTCTGAGGTGTTTACATTTATGACATAATAATATTCTTTATGAAGACTGGCTGGTTTTGATTTGAGCATGGTTCTCTTAGATAGCTAAATATTTAAATCAAGATGTCTGTGTAAGTCCTCAGTCATCCAGGTCATGGTAAACTCAAAGCTTGATCCAAGATGTACCTAAAAAACCTGAAAACCTATTTGTTGTCATCATACACTGTACTGAGGCTAATGTTTCAAAACCAGTTTTCTGAAGCCTTATGTACAACTTGATCCTTAAAACTCCTTAAAAGTAACGCACAGCAGAAGTGAAGGGGTGAATGATATCACATTGCATACAGTGATGTTGATGACTTGACACTATTTTAGACTGTATAGTGTGTCTTGGTCCACTCCATCTTGTCTTCCATCATTTACATTTTAATAAATGATGGATGCATAATGCAAATCATTTTACACAAAGTAGACGTCACAGATACACATTCCTGCAGCTGTGTTATAATAATCCAATCTTATATTGTGTCCTGCATGACAGCAGCATTAAAAAGCCATTTATTTATCTCTGCAGTCTCCCAGATAAATCACTTTGTGTACAATAAAAATAATAATGTAATCTTTGAAAATGACATCATATAATATAGTGTAAAGAAGAGGATTGTGGGACAAGAATGACAGATTTGAAATAGGGACACAGACATGCAGTCTTTCATTAAACTGAACTTGATGAGTAATGTTTGTATAAAAGTGTATATGCACACACAGTTAGGATAGCTGTGTGTTATTAAAGGACATATTACGCTCTCTGTACTTAATGACCTCAGGCAAAGCTTCCATGACCCAACATCTGTCCTCCTTTTTATACCTCTGTACATCCATCAATTCATTCATTCATAAAGGCTTTTAGGGAATGAGCTGCTGATAAGGCACAGGGAGAACTGGTTCATCCATGACAGATGTGTACACACACACACACACACACACACACACACACACACACACACACACACACACACGTCTTGTACACACAAAGGACTTTGCAGCATGTCCATTATCCTCTTTGCCGGTCCTCATTTGCCCTTTATCTCTGTTCGGGTTAATATGTAGGGGAGGGGAGGGGGGGACATCGGTTGTTGATTAGATACATGTTGTGCATGTCTTTGTAAAATGCTACTGGATGCTTTGAATTTCCCTCTGGATCAACAAACTATCTTTTTTTATCCACTCCTTTTTCTTTCTACTTGTCTTGTTTTATTTCATCATTTGTTTTCAGATTATTTAAAAGGCATCAAATTAAACCTTTACCTTTTTTTCTGCTTAGTTGATCACAGCAGGGTGAAGCTGACGCTAAAAACAACCAATCAGGACACAGATTATGTCAATGCAAACTTCATTAAGGTAAAAGGCTCCTTTTTGTTGTTTGATTTAGTTAAAGTGCTTTAATGACCACAGTAAGAGTGTTTACAGTGTATATTATAAACAAATCTGTGCAGATTTTAGTGACCCTATTTGTCTCATCAGGGTATGGACGGCCCAGAAGCCTATATTGCAACTCAGGGCCCGCTTCAGAACACGGTCATTGACTTCTGGAGGATGAATTGGGAGTACAATGTAGCTGTGAGTATAGCAGGAGAGAGTGGAAAGAGATATACTGCACATGTGTTTACAGATTACAGTGTAACATGTAAAGCAATTCAAATAATGATTTAGCATTGTATTCAGAAAGCAGGAGGTACTAGGGAGTGCTTCTGTTTGAATCACATGGACAGATATGAGAAGAAGGGGAGAGACAGAGCTGTGATAATTACTCCTGTAGAGTTAAAAAAGAATTACATGAGTGATGGTATGAATATAAATCATATGAAGTTCTAGATACTCTACTACCAACGATAGAAACTAAAGATGTGGAGAAAGTTTTATAATCTGTAAGGTTTTCTTCAGTCTTTGAACCTTTTGATTTTTTCAAAACAGCAGAACAAAAATGAATATAATGTGCATATATTTGGAAATGAGAGGGTTAATATTAATAACAATCCTTCCTGTTTGTGTTTCTGCAGGTCATTGTTATGGCTTGTCGAGAGTTTGAGATGGGAAGGGTAAGACATATTTTTACTCTTCATGTACTTTTACTTGTTTGTATTATTGCAAGGATGAAAGTGAACCTATTTGTTTGTACATCTAGAAATACATGTATATCATGTTCTGACTAGTGTTGGCCAAAATACAAAAAATACTAACTAGTAACAGTTACTAGTTACTAATATTAAAAAGTTACGGCATTATGAAGTAACTAGTTACATGGGAAAGTAACTTGAGCTTTACTTTTTTGCTTCAATACTCATAATGTTCACATTATTTTATGTGACAGAATTGAGCTGTGACAACTCACAAATGTCACATACCACTGTAGTCATTTTCAATTTTTAGGTATTTTACCGATTAGATCTCTGGAGACAACAGACTCATACCTGTCTTTCAGCCTGTAGTTTGGCTCACAGGTCATAGAGCAGGTAGTGTTTTAAATCCAGCTGGGTGTTTGTTTGAAGTCTGTGGTGTCTGCAGCACAGCGCTCTCTGACAGCTTGTTTAGTGGAAGACTGTTGTTTATCTCGTTGCCTCATTCTTGTGAGAGAAGTTGTCTTTCCTGCACATATACAAGAAGTGAGAGTTTGACCTGAACCTGATACTAGTCTACAAGTCACCGCTATATTCTTGTCGTTTAACCTTGAGCAGGGAGAAGATAATGTCAGTATTTCCGAGACAGGAAGCTGAAGGCTAAATAATCAGCTAGCTGTGTTTGTTTACTGCATGAGACGTTCTTTCTCCCAGGACGCTGCTGTGCGCCCGTCGAAGCAGTGTCCATACACCTTAATCTTGTGTTGTTGTCGGCTGTTTCACATTGATTAACGAGTATCACATATTCAGTTATATGGCCTGAAGTGCTGAAAGCAGATATCAATTAAGACAGAATCGCTGTATTGTGATATAATCATTATCGTGCGATACCCACACCTACTGTACACTCATCTGTTTTATTTTGCTTTTATTGTACTGTTTGAATTTATTAAGGAAGTTTTAGTAGATGCTAAGTAGTTACAAGATTTCTTAACCTTATCCTTAAGGCCAGGATGATATGAAAAAAGGAAAACTTTTCATAGGGTAATATTAAGTATAACGTAATAGGTAATATTGATAGAGTTATATTAAGTATAATGTGTACAGTATTTAGTCATTGTCATGTCCCCTTATTTCAAGAAATTAAGTGTGTGTGTGTGTGTGTGTGCGCACATGAAGCTTTGTTATTAATCTGGTATTCTGTTGGCAGCCAAACCTAACCCCTCTTCATCTCTTCTCAGAAAAAGTGTGAGCGGTATTTCCCGTTGCTTGTGGAGGAGCCCATGAGTTTTGGCCCTTTCAGAATCTCCTATGTGAGTAAATCTGAACTATCACAGCTGTGTGTAAATGGAGATGGAATGGGGGGGGGGTGTTTCTTATTTATTTTTTGTTACCCATGCATTTCTCACATTTTGTTCTAATGACCGTTTTAGTCATGGTTCATGAAAATGTTGACTCTCTCTCTCTGTGTTTTCTAGGAATCTGAGCAGGCCAGAACAGACTACGTTATCAGGACTTTGATGGTGGAATATGAGAATGTAAGTTTGTTTTCTTACTTACTCTCAGTGTGTTCTTTCAATCTTTTCTTTGTTGTTCATCATTCCAACTGTCTTTCCCCCCAAATCATTTCCCTACAGTCTACAAGTATAAAGCAATTTACTGTATTCATTGATATTAAAAAGGGCTTTTTTGGGTATTGATTTACTGCTATGATTGCATCTGTTTGCAAAATAACATATCCATAATCCACTGTCATATAAATATGAAAGTTCCTTTTCTGTGTTAGAATTTTTTTATTTTATTTTGTGGAACAGAATTTAGTAAAACATTGACATTTGTGCTGCCATTCGATAAACACATTTGATCTAACTACTTACAGGCATTGTAATTAATTAATTGCAATTAATATGAATAATATGAGAAAGATTGCAGGTGGAGTTACTGCATAACCCTGTTTCTAGTTTATATCTTGCTTAAAATAATCAAATAATCCCCCCCCCCCACACACACACAGACACCCTGACACCCTGTACCACTCTTCTCTGCTTACCTCTTTCAGTTTAATCTCCAACTCTTCATCAATGTTTTGTTAGTCTCCAAGGTGTACTTTTTTCAACACGCTTGAAGGAAGCTTCTTGTCAATTACTTAACGATCAAATAGAGGTCATGAGAGGTCATCCGTGACATAAGACGTCAGAGTGCAGTTAATCAGCATTAATTATTTGTCAATCAATGTTTCTGTAATTAATTAATAGAAATTTACACATTATTTTTAAAGCCCTGATTGACTCAAATTTATTCACATAAAAAGTTTTTCAAATCCAGAATACCAACTAATATTTTAATGGAATCTTCGCCCACACATTCACATTCTCCTCTTGGCAAGATAATAGAATTTGCAGTGCTTCAACAACCCTCCATCTTTAAAAATGTCCCTTTGTATGTCATCCTGCAGGAGAGCCGGAGAATAACACAGTTCCATTATATGAACTGGCCAGATCATGACGTGCCCTCATCGTTTGACTCCATATTGGACATGATTGGACTAATGAGAGAATACCAAGAGAATGATGATGTCCCTATATGTGTCCACTGCAGGTACTAACACTGTATACCCATCTTTGGAGTTATTGTCTCTTCAGCAGCGTTCTTGGCAGGTTGCAGATCAAATAAATACGAACGTTAATACAGTTTTGACATTTCAGGACAGCACAGAAAATGTTCCGTCATACAAACACACGTCTCCTCGTGGCAGAAGCTAGAGTTAGTGTGTAGACTTCAGCTGACATGGGGTTCACCTGATGCTTTCTAGCTGAGCAGTTGTCTTTTGCTGGGCTCCCGCTTCGTGAGGCGCTAAATAACATTTACTAAGTTTTACTTCCTGGTTAACTTCCTATCCTTCTTGCAAGCGAGTGCAACAATGTCCACTGGTGCCATAGGTTCCTCTTGCACAAAGACATCAGCGAGATCTAGGACGGTAGCTAAAAACGTGCTGCTAGCCAGCTACCTGACACTGGCTAACGATGACACAGACTCCGATGACATTAATATAGTGCAGGACGTGGTCACCAACAAGATGTGACGAGATGAGCTTGTTCATGGATGAAAAGTTTGAAGGCTTGAAAGCAACTCTGGAAGATCTCACAGGGCTGATCCACCCACATTGGAGAGGCTGAGAACCGTATTTCAGCCACAGAAGATAAGGTGTCCTCTTTAAAACTGATGTGTCCTTCCTTCAGCGCTCTGTGAAGGTGATGGAGGAGCGTATTAACAAACTCAAAAACCACAGCAGGAGAAACAACATACGGAGCGTCAGGCTGGGAGAAGGCATTGAGTGCAGACAGCCGCTGCAGTTCTTTGAATCATGGTTATAGAAGGTGCTCGGTTTCCAGGCCAAAGGAGACAAGATGAAGATCGACAGAGCGCACAGGACAGCCAGCTCGCCGATGACAACCGACCCCGGCCTGCGGTGATAAAGCTTTACAACTTCGCTAATAAAAAGAAGATTCTTCAAGCGGCGAGGGGAAAAAAGGGCAGCTGCGACACGGTGGGCGTGCCTTTTCCATCAAGCCGGATTATTCACCTGAAGTTAAAGCTGCACGTCGGGAGGCTTTTTTACCAGAATTTATATTCTTCTGGATGTCATTCCTCTGCAATGGCACCGGGGGGCTTTTTGGATAAACTAGAGCTCCCTAGTCTTAATGATCAATAGAAGGTAGAGATAAACAGGTCTATAAGAGAGGAGGAGGTCTTAGAGGCCATTAAGACCCTAAAGGGTTGAAAAGCCCCCGGCCCTGATGGATTTGGCCCAGAATTTTGTAAAACATTCAGCAAGATTCTAATCAAACCTCTGACAGATATGTATCAACATTCTTTTGATAATCATAAATTACCACAATCTCTTAATTTGGCCAATATGTCTCTGGAAAAAAAAAAAAGTAAACCTCTAGAGGAGTGTCGCTCATACCGTCCTTAGCCTGATTGGGGTAGATAGCAAAATACTCTCAAAAGTTTTTGCAAGGAGGGTAGAGGGTCTATTGCCAAGTCTTATTAATCCTGATCAGACCGGATTCATACAGAATAGTCTCTTGAATGTGATTCAATATACGAACCAATGGCAAGGTTTCACTGTGTCCCTTGATGCTGAAAAAACCTTTGATAGGGGGGAGTGGTGGTGGAGTGGTCGCCTACGGCTAGCATTATCACAAGTGGCCTCCGCTCTGAACCCTTCCCATTGGCTAGGGGCACCAGACAGGGCTGCCCCCATAGCCCACTACTGTTCGCAATAGCTTTGGAACCCCTTGCAGTGGCCATTAGGCTTAATGCGGACATAAAGGGAGTTTCAGTGGGTGGTGCTATACATAAAATAGCTCTGTATGCTGATGACATTTTGCTCTTTTTTAATCGCCTGAAATATCAGTCCCTGCTACCATGTCATGGTTGGAAGAATTTAGTAGTGTGTATCTGGTTACAAGGTTACCTTTGATAAGTCTGAAGCATTGCTTATTGGCGGGCTAGATATAGATCACTTGACGGAGGTTTAATTTCCTAGTATCTAGGAATGAAAGTATCCCCCAACCTGTCTGATCTCTGGAAACTAAATATTTCCCCGATTATATGTGCTGTTAATTGAGACTTACAACGTTTGTCAAGTCTCCCTCTGTCCTTTATGGGCCAAATGAGTTTGATCAAAATGAATGTGCCACCCAGGATTCTGTATCCCCTACAGATGTTACCCCTTTGGATGCCCAAGAAGGTTCCCTCAGGTATTGAAAAGCTGTTCTCTGAATTTGTCTGGCATGGTAAAAAGCAGAGGAAAGAAATTAAGATTCTACAAATGCCAACCAATGCTGGTGGGCTTGGCCTGCCCAATATATTTTTTAATAACTGGGCTTGTCATGCTCTGATAATTTGGGGTTGGCTTCACTCATATCTTGACTCAACCCTTTGCTTTGATTCCTGGGCCTACTTTGTCTTTGTGGAGCCTGATTAACTTTAAACGCGAAAGAGGTAAAAGCTAACCTGTTGACTTACAATTCTGTGAGAGTCTGGAGGGATACAACTAGTTTCTCTGGGAGGAAGTATTTGGTCTCTATGCCGACACTGTCTGTAGGAATGCTGGCTTCATCCCGGCTAGCAGTTACATTTTAAAGTTTTGGAAGTCCAGAGGCATTAAGGTTATCAGAGATTTATTTAAAGGCAGGGTTGGTAATTTTCTCCAGATACACTTTTTAAGATTTTGGTTGAAATTGTCTTTAGGTCCTGACAGAAATTAATAAATCATGTTCTTTGAAAAAGGAACAAAGAAACTCCATCATCTGTATCAGTTGTAAGCTTGTAAAAACTTTGACCAATGTCTGCCACGAGGTACCAATCTGATAAACCAATCACACGCCTCCCTGTCTCCCTGCTCGTTCTTACCCCATGCATGCACGAGTCCACACTCAAAGCATGAGCTGAGGTCCCCTTCTGGACCAATGGCGCTTGTGCATGTACGTGAGGGGTGTGGCTTTTGAGGGAGCACAGAGGGGAGGGGGTGGGTGCAGACGGAGCACTGAGGGAATGCTACTTTCAAAATCATGCTAGTTTTTACAAAAATTGCCAACCCTGCCTTTAAAGATGGTATTCTCATGTCTTTTCAGCAACTTCAACTTCAGTATAACCTTCCTAAGGAGCAGAGTCTCCCCTCCCTCCATACTCCTAAATTAAGTGCCCCAGAATCCTTTCTTATGAACTGCAAGAATTCCTCCAATTGTATTTCTTCCTTTTACTCCCTGGACACTTGTCCAATAAACTTGTATAATGTCTAACGTAAATGGGAAAGGGAACTTGATAATGAGTACATAGAAGAGGACTGGCAAGAAGCTTTGAATTGTATCAAAACTGTGTTTTCTTGCAATAGAATGAGGGGACTCAATACAAAATTCTTCATAGATTACACATAACACCTGCCATCCGGTGGTTCTCCAGTTCTGTCACCACAGTGTCTGAAATGTCTGAGAGAGATGGGACTATTTTTTAAATCTTTTTTGGCAGTGTAAATACATATCACGATTTTGGTCCTGTATAGCAAAAGAGCTTAGTGGCATTTTCAAAACTAAAGTAAGCATGGATCCTGGGCTCTTCATACTTAGCTTGTCATCTAAGTATGTGTCACTCGCCTCTCTTAAATTTAAATTGCTGGATAAACTATTACTTTTGGCAAGAAGTGTGTACTGTTGAGGTGGATCAAAGACAAACCTCCCACTGTTACTATATGGTACAAAGAGATCTTTTCTGTACTTCCACATGAGAGGATTAGCGCAGTGCTGAAGGGCAATCAACAGTTATTCCTGACCACTTGGAAACCACTCATGGACTACCTCCCTGCGGAGAGTCTTGATTTGTTGTCAAAAGGATTCTGTTCTTTGGATATTCCCAGTCAGACTGAGGCTAGATTTAAATTTAATGGTATTTTATGTCTTATTTTATTGCCTTGTCTGTGTTGGCTCGTTTTCTTGTAGTGGTTGATTTTAGTCCTTTTGAGTTGTGTCATTGTACATGTTTCCTAACTACTGTTTGAAAATTTAAATAAAATTGTTTAAAAAAAAAAAAAAAAGGATTTCCGCTTACATACAATTTACAAGATTTGGTCGACATGTTTTTTTCAAACATTTCATTGTTTCGGTTTAATAATGTTGTTTAAAAATTTCCTTTAAAATCTGCTGCAGACTGTTGAAATTTTAACAGACAATACAACAAAAACTCACCGAATCACTGAGTGTCACATTCTGGTCTTCTGCTGCACACATGCTTGGGTGTTCGCGCACTCACTAACACATGGTCTCCATGTGTGTGTAATCAGCTATAATGAGTAGCCTGAGGACACTTCCTTGTTCCTCTGTTACACAGCAGGACTAAAAGTTGTGTCTCTGTGTCGGTAAAGAAGCTTTACTGTATGTGTGCTCAGAAACTCTGCTTGTTAGAGCAGCAGAAGTTTTATGATGGAATGTGTTTGACCACATAACGTCAGCGTTTGTGCAGCTCCTGTCTCCATCCTGTTCCTGTCTGGACCAGCATGTCTTTATTCTAACATACATGAAATGAAGGAGTGTGTATTTAGGTGATTTAGTTCTGTAAAAAAGAGTGTGTGTGACGGTGTGCTTCTGTTGAATCTCATGTGTATGACTCTGACATTTCAGTGCAGGCTGTGGGAGGACAGGTGCTATCTGTGCTATCGACTACACTTGGAACCTCCTCAAAGCTGGTGTATGTGAACACACACATTCCCTACACACACCTTAAATGTCTCCTTATTATTACACTCACATTTCTTGTTACGGTAATATTCAAGTGAGTTTGAACTGAGATTTACTTGTTTTATGCTTTGCTTTCTATTTAAGAAAATACCAGAAGATTTTAATGTTTTTCGGTTGATCCAAGAAATGAGGACGCAACGGCACTCTGCTGTTCAGACCAAGGTTTGTTTTTTGCTTTTAAATACGTTACTTACACAAAGAATGGTACTTTGCATTCATGCTGCATTGAGGTTTTTTTAGGCTAACTGAAATGCAACATTTAAACAAACCTTTGTTTGCAGAAGGTTTAAAAACTCAAGTTAATTAAAAAAAAGTCAACCCGTCAGGATTGGTGCAGCCATAAACTGCAGACTGAGAAGCATTTCACATCCAGCTGCATTGTGTTAAATATGAAATGTGTAATACGCTTGCTTCTGGTTTTGTTTCAAATGTGTCTATATGTGTTCCTTTATGGTCTCTGGTGTCACAAAAAGCGGAGGAAGAAATAACTAAGCACCTTGTTTCCTCCTACACATTTGTCCTGACATTGAGAGAACTGTTTGATTGAGTCATTGAATAACCTTGAAACACACTGACTTGGTTTTGAAACCAAGGGATTAACTGTAATGTTATTTTTTTAAATGCAGTACCAGAAACATAATGACATGAGATGCAGGTGCATTAGTGAAGGTCCTTCTGTTGTTTTATTTAAAAGATTGTAAAATTATGTTTTAGAGACGTTTTTCTTCACCTTTTGCTACATTAACCCATTCTTTTTTTATTTGAACTTTTTGCTTATAATGTCTTTGTGTGTATCTTTCCAGGAGCAGTACGAGTTAGTTCACCGAGCGATCGCTCAGATCTTTCAGAAACAACTACTACTCCTGGAGAGCCCCACCAACACGCAGATACATGATGGCATGGTATGAAACAAACACAAACATATTGAAAGACAGGATGTGGCTGATTAACGTGCTCCGAGTGGGGAGTGGGAGACACAAAATAATTAGTCACAGAGGAGGGTGACGGAGGAGAGGCCTCCTGTAAACTTACACACAGTGTCCTGGAGTTTGTGCCAAAGATAGAGCGAAACAGGGATGTCTCTAAGGACTGCATACTGTTCGACCTGTTTTGAAAGGGCCTAAAAAATATTTGGCTTGTCGCTCCCCACTGCCCTCATTCCCAGTTACTTCACTCCCAAACACACCACACTTTGTCCTTACTTGCCCCTGTGTTTCCTTCCAGTATATTTAAAGAAGAAAATAAACCCTCAAAGCTAACTTATTAAAACAACATATTCTCATTTAAAGTGCTGCGCTCTCTTGGGCTGATGTCTTTGAGACTGATGTTTTTTTTTTTTTTTTATCAAACTCTGTGCTCAAACATTGCAGGTGACACTGATCCATTATACCTCATTTTATGTAGGGGAAGTAACCTTCTAGCTTTTGAAGCTTCTGCTGCTACTTGCTTCCTCTTGGTAAAAAAAATAAAAAAGTAAAGCCTAGATTATAACACTGTCAGGTAGAAATGTGAAGATAAAAGAACAATAGACAAAGAGTGATCAGTGAGACTGACAAACCCTGAAGACACAGAGAGACCATGAGAGAGCCCATTGGCAGCAATCCAGGAGTGGACTTCCTGCTTAGGAAGCTCTGATGACTTCACCCCATTTTTCCCTTAATGCAATTTGAGTCTCAGAATAGACATGCTTCTTTTGGGAAAGGAAGACCCTTGTGAGAGTCGGTTACACGAACACACACGCAACCTTGTTCACATGAGAAAGACTCAGGCACACTGAACTTCTGCGTTTAACCTGAGTGTAAAGAATCAGGGTGGTGGACACGGAGGAAGACTAGAACTTCAACACAATTTTTTGCCTACATACACAGAAACACGCTGTCATCAAATCATGATGGGTTTTCTGGACTGACTCAGTCCATGTATGACTCATGTCCATTCAGCCATTGTTAGTGACTAAAACTCCCACATAGGTTCTCTCAATGGCAGAATGAACAATAAACCTACACATACACACAACCCACGCCAAGTTCTCTACATGCATACTTCTCATAATACACATCAATGTACAGCTAATGCTAGTTAGCATTTACAGACACATCGAGCCCAAGTGTCCTCATTTCCCCACTCTGCACGGCTGAAGTTGGCCAGTCATCTTTTCATTATCAGAGTTGAGAGGTAGTCAAATTAATGAGTCACGGGGGAGAGAGAGAGATGGAGGAGGAGGAGGGCTGAGAAGAAGAGTGAGGGAGGTGAAGAGCTTCTTTCAGTGAGGCTTTTGTTGCTTTTCACCTCTGATACAGAAATATAAGAACATTTGGTTTAGGAGAGGGCAGTTAGAGTAAGATGTGCTTTACATTATAAAAAAAAAGAATTAAAAAATGATTCATAAGATAATTGAAATTTGATGATTGATAACTAGCTCTGGAAATTCAAGATAGCAAGGGAACGTCTGTCTTTTATAGGAAAGCAAATAGAAGCTGAGGCAAAACAATTGTGTTTTGAATGGGTCAGATTTTAAATATGATTCTGACGGGCTAAAGTAGGGACATACTCAATTCTTTGAGAGCTCTTAAAAGACACAAAACGCCCAGCTGAGATGCGTTTGAATTTAGTGTCCTTTTGTCATTTTGACCAAAACACAGTCACA